ACTCCTCTCTGCAAATGGAACTGATGTGGCCAAGCTGGTGATGCAATTGTTGCTTGGTGTATCATCAAAATCGTTCACTGTCAATCAACGTCAAAGTAACGAAGAGCATCCTAGATTGCGTTGAATTCGATCGTATCAAATGCATTTTGGAAGTCGATGAAGAGAGGGGCAAGTGGTAGATGGTATTCTTGTGTTTTCTCAGTTAGTTGATTTATAGCTTGCAAAGGGTCAGTAGTTGAGAACTTTCGTCGAAATCCAGCTTGTTCAAATAGCAAGCGGTTGCATACTTTCTCTTCTAATCAATACGCCAGGACTCTTGTCAAAATTTTGTAAATTGTTGATAAAAGCGAAATTAGACAATAGTTCTTGATGTCGTGCCGGCACCTTTTTTGTATCATAGTAGCCTGTAAAGTCGATAAAAATGTTATCATTTTCAAACAGCCGGTTTATGATGTTCGCGAGCTGAGGTGCTACGACTTCACTCCACACTTGGCAGCTCTGGATCGAATTTCATTGATACCTGGAGCAGTGGTACCACGAATCTTCGAAGCTTCTTTTCATAGTTCATCAGCGATGATTGAAATGGACATAGGTTCGGAACTCAAGAGAAGCTTTGTTACTTGTATAAAGGCCAGCAAAGAAGGTATTCGCAATTGATTCGGCTTCGGTAGAGCTGGTGGTATGGTTCCATCTGGTCGGCGTAACTAACTAATAACTTCACGTTGTCGGACGAGCTCAAGACGGTTTCATCTTCTACTGTCAGTTCTTATGGCCCGCTCTAGTACGAAAAGATGATGTTGATAAAGGTCGTCTATTACGAACCATTGAGCAGTCTTGCAGACGGTCGCGCAATGTATCTGAGCACTAGAAAGCTCGGTCTCTATTCCGAGTTCCAACTCATGTCTTAGATGAAGAAAAGATCGTCGTCGCTCAGATATACATTCTAGTGGCTTCCAGCCTGATTCTGCTAGGCTACAGCTTTTTTGAAGAGTGAGCATCTTTCTCTAAGAATTGACCGATTCATTCAGAACTGCAGTCGAAGATGAAATTTTAGCGTTGAAAGGACCATTGAGCAAAGCGGCCTTCATTTTCAGCTCACATTAATCAGGAGGTAGCTGATGAGAACGTACTCCTACATGTGCTTTGGTACAAACATTCACGTGAGCTCGGATGAATGATGATCAAGCGTTGGACATGTCAAGTGTCTCTGCATTATCTCAGCATTATCTATCATTTTTTTTCGGCGCGTCAGTACCTAATCAGTTTCTTCCAAGACCTGGCCATTCGGAGATCGCCAGGTCCATCTTTGCCTGTTCGGTTTTTGAAAGAATGAGTTCATTATGTAGAATTTCACCAACTCAGCAAAATCAGCCAACGCTTGTCCTTTGTTATTGCGCCTCCCCAAGCCTTTCTTACTTACATAGTCGGTTTACTGCCCTTCTCCTACGCGTGTGTTGAAATCTTTCGCTAAAATCCCGTACGCATAAAGTTGTTGCGTGTTTGAGTTCATTTATAAGCCTCTCATACCTTTCTTCCTGCCAGGGTGCGTATGCTATCGTAACTCGCATTGACATCCTATGTGAACGTGTATTTGAATGAAACGATTAGATAGGAAGGTATCTCGAGCATTGTCACTGTAGACGTTCGTTGACAAGTATACCTATCCTTCGCCGAGTACTTCTCCATCTCTTCTACCGCTGTCATAAGATGCAGTTCAGAACGGTTCTGTTTCGCAGAAATGGTGCCGTGTACATCGCGTTTCACTCAATCCTACTGTGTCAATTTATTCTGCTCAATTCTTCCTCAAGGGCGGCTAGCCTCTCCTCCGACGCCAACGAAATATTAGGTTGTAAAGAAAGTTCCCGAGCAGTTTTGGAAAGTTCATTTTCAGACTCATTTTTTTCGCACTCGGTTGAATCAGAACGCCGAATATTTTATATGATTCTGTAGGAAAAAGCCTAAGCTTTCCGGACTCGCACTCAGTTTTTATCGATGACAAGCCGTGTTTGTCCTACACACCTAAAAAGGAAGTTTGTGCAACGATGAAAATTTCACATTTTTTTTTTGCTGCCATTTTTTCGCACTGAACAAAGAAAACCATTCAAAGGTTGGTCACTCTGAATAAGGAGGCTGTCTACTTTGAACCTGCGGCTATGCTCGGATTTTACAATACGCGCACAAAAATTACAAGCTCTCAAACTTGCCTTTAATCGTAGGTGTTTTCGCAGTGGCGTCGATTTTGTAAGGATCGTCACGCCTCGGTGATGGGCCCAAAAGATGTGCAAGACATTGCCCCAACGATGTTTGCAGCAATTAAAGATTTGATTCATTCCGTAGAAAAAAGGAAGACTTCAAACTTATTTACTCAAAAACTGGGGCATTTTTGAGGTGCAAAAATGGTCGAAACTGTTTCCATATTTCACGTAACCGGATATGAGCTCTCCAGCTCTCTTCGTGCATGAGAAATGCACTAATGGGCCAGATTTTTAGTCGAACTTTTTCTCCACTGCGCATGCTGGCTGCTCGAAATGAAGGGCTGAGGACCCAGTAAAGTAAGCATACCTTGTAGACAACATTGCCTTTGCAGCAAAGTTTGCAGCTCTCAGAAAGGATCATGCTTGAAATTACAGCAGTTTGAAAAATTATTTCGCAAGTGCCCGGGAATTTTCTTTACATCCTAATAAAAACATATGCGAATTGTTGTTATCAGCGTGGGGGTCCCGTGTCTTCTTGGCTTCTCGTGCAGGCACGGCTTCTTATACCGGTGAACCAGCCTCGATTCCTTCCACCGGTTCTTCTCCTAGCTTTGACAAAACAGATGATTAATGGCTGCTCTACAAACTGCTAAAAAAGGCGTTATTTTGAGAGACCTTGTCATGTTGACTTCTTCCTCCTCCAAAGAAGCAGCAATTTATTTGCAAAAAGACAAGAAAGAGTTTCAAGAGCAGTCTTGTAAAAACCGGTAGCGTTATTCAAAAATTTGCGGGCAAATGCGAAAATTCCGCAGCGAGCATTTTTCAGTGTCAGCCTACCCAGCCCAAACTTTTGCGAAAAATTCTCAAACTAGGCATGCAACACTTGTTATGGTTGTCCTGGTACTGTAATTGCAACATTAGTGCAGAAAAAACACAAAACAACAGAGTCATCTTTGAAAACTGTACATTGTACTGCTTTCTTTGTTACCGTCAAAAAATGAGGTGCACCAAAGAAGTTTTGAATTTCAAATGAAGAAGTTACGTAATTTCGAAAGATAAATAGTTATCAAATTTTTAAGCCGCACCTGCTCAACTGTCCACTTATATCTTATTTTGGCCAATTTATTCGAAGTAACCTTCCTGGAGTAGAAACCGTGTCCTTATGCAAAGCTCTTAATTCATTGAGAAAGGGGATTTCAGTGACTGTCCTCGTGAATCACATAGACCAATCACATAATCAATATTACAGACTGAACTAGACACTCTTTGATTTTGTAAATGCTCAGCCTATCATCAAAGGAGCAGGCCTTTTTAATGTAGGTTGTAACACAAAAAGGCAGAAGTAGTTAACTTAAATTCACAAACGCTACTCTGATTTTGAGCTTTCTTGTTTGATGTCGCTGTTAATTTCTCCGCTTCGTAATATGATTTTGTCGAGCATATCATTGGGCATAAGTTCACATATGTAAGCTGTGTTTTCCTTATCTGCAACATGACGACTGGTCCCATGTGCCACTTTTCACCGAGAGGGGTCTCAGCTAACAGATGTGGGAGTCAGCAAGGCTCGCATTAGCATATGCGCAACAACGCGCTAGGGTCGCCTTCAAGGTCTAAGGTCTAGGTTTTGATAAACATGGCACCCTACACATGTAAAGTTATTTAGTATCGCAAGATTTTCAAACAGTTTGAATTGCTTTCTTTTTGGTGTAACAACAATGTTATTACGATGCCATTCGTTCGAAAGGTTGATGATGTAGTTTGGATGCGTTTCCTTGTATTCTTCTTCATGTACTTCCTTTGTATCTTAAAGGCGGAGTCTCACCAAAATTTAGTTGCCGAGATTTTTGCATTTTGCAAGCCTGTCGTACCCTGTCTAGCGCTGTATAGGCTTAAAATCGCACGAAGTTCCCAAAACCCCGTTTTTTGGAGGCCCCGCGGAAGCAACGTGGACGAGTTGTACCTTCCAACTTCAGCCTCAGCCACAGTGGCAGCAACAGAGGGGAGGTGGATGCAAAGTGGAGAGACATGTTCAAATGCGTAAGGGGGGAGACCGATGGAGTCGTCCGCGCGTACCAAATCGCTCTCTGCGTACCACTTTGAGCGAGTTTTTCTCAGCATGTCATTGCAGGGGCCCATTTGGAGGTCCCTACAATAGAATATGTGAATATCCGCGAGACCTCAACTTTGGTGAGACACTGCCTTTAACCTTGAATGCGATCATTGAATAGACTGCAGCACTTTTGATGCAGTGCTCGTTTTATCATTATTGGTGTAAGGTTCACTCATAAAACGTGACGACGGATTTGACTGCAGTCTTTGCGCTCACAGGAGCATAACACCCTCATACAAAAAGACATCATCTTAACGCTCAGCTCAGTCACTTCCAGTGTCCAAGTACTATCATATCCAAGCAGAAAACCTAGTCGAGTAAAGCTCAAAACCAAGAAAATGCGGTTGCTGGAAGGTGCGTGCGCGTCGCGCGCGGTCGCGAAATCGTCACGATTTTTCGAGTGCCCTATAAATATAAAATTAGTAGCAGCTGTTCTCGAGTACGGCTCTTCTTGCGTAGAAACGTTAAAGAAGGAGAAAGTTGGTGAGCTGAGTTCACTTAAGTTTTCCTTTGTTTATCCACTTATGTCCGACTGCTTGCCGGAGAGAGTGAATTACTAACAAAAGACTTCCACTTTTTTTTAAAGAAAACTTTGTTTGTTCAAACATAAAGCAGACATATTTATTACATCCTCTTATTCGCTGTGGTGCATCGGTGTATTTTTCAAATAGATAAACAACGCTTTCAAAGCTAACCTCTGATAAAGTTGGATGCAACAAAGCAATTTCATCGACGGCCATTACAGGGACAAGGAGTGATCCTGCTTCACTCTCAGTGAGATGGCCTGAGCATCTGATTACAATACGAATGCAAACTCACAACATGTGACATACATATATGTTGTCCTCCCCAGCTTTGCGGAAGGGTACTAGGACAAATCAGCATAACGTCGAGAAATCGAGACTTAGCCTAAATTATTGAAGTTGAGAATACCGCTATCACTGGGATTTATGGATAAATCCAAAGAGTCGAATTCAACATTCGCTGCGGGGTGCGGATCTTTCGGCGACCTCGCCGTTTCCTACATAGGTCAGAATGCCTAAGAGGATAACTTATTAATAAAGTAGAATGCTGAATGACGCGCAGTTATTTCAATATCGTACACCATGTGAAACATACTGTCGTGCTGTAAACGGCTACAGATTCCGGCATAGATTCTGAGCTCTGATAGCACTTGACCAAAGCCTACGCAAAACGTTTCTTACGAAAGCGGCTACGGCGAACAGTATCCCAGCAATCTTATTGCACTGTTTTGCTTTTAGCAGATAATAGCTAAAGCTAAAAAAACTCAAGACGCCTAAATAACTAAGAAGCCGGAAGACACTAGCATGCTCAGTCTTAGACATCGCGAATGCTATAAAACCGTAGCTCCACCTAGGCGTTTGTGTCGGGCGTCTAACCATTCTAGAACTTATTCTCTCGAAGTCATTTTTGTGTTAATAATTGGAAGCTATTTCCTACGCTTCGACTGCTTCTTCCTTAAAAATATAGCTCTATGAAGCATTGCTAAGCTTGCAAATTTGCGAAAGAGTTTGGGTTTATGAGGTTGCACTTGTATTTGTTTTGTCCTTTTTGTTTATAGACAACCACTTGGCCACCCCTCGGTAATAAAAAGAGTACAGCAGTGGAGTTGAATGTAACCGCTTTTTTTTAAAGCCAAAGTCCAAGAAAACGTCACTTTTTAGTTGTTTTGTGCCAATGTCATTTCTCGATTATTGGGGCACAGACGATGTATGTTTTTTACAGTTGTTATCCACTTCCGTGGGGTTTATAGTAAATAGTCACAATGTATAAGCAATGAGGTTCTTCTTATTAGGCTCATTACTTTCCCTTTGAATTTAACTAACAATAAATTAACAGCAAATGAAATGAAGTCGATGCATTCAATGTGTACGTGACGAGGTTTGGAGTTTGTAGGAACTTTTAGAGCTGAGATATCTTTTAGGGCATCTAAATGTTTTCAACTTCGGCTGAACTGAACATGGGTCACGATTCAGGTACGTTTTGTGATTAAAAGGCTTGTTATGCTCTAACAAACATCGCTCGAATATTTTTGGTGTTCCCCACTGCGGTCCCATAAGAACGACATCTTCTGCAGATTTCGCCATGGAAATGGGAAACACCATATTAGTCATCGCGGTAGATGACTTTGAGTATCTAAAATTTAAAGTAATTTTTGGCGTGTCTACCAAGTGGTCCCACTCTTTGTTTCGCACCTTTTCAATGTTAGTCATCTGTCATATTTCACTAGTCAGGTTTAGTACACAATCTAAAACTTTTTCATTACTTCGCGTTGGATTCCACTCATTCCAATCTAGCTGTTGTCTTATGTCATCATAGTCTCGCAATACTATACTATGGACTATAGTTGTAACGACTGAAAACCTCATCGAACGAAGGAATATCAAATGACTTCTCAAACATATTCGAACAATGAACATCATCCATTTCATGGTTTTTCATTCGACCAAATTTGAGTAATCAAATATGTTGTCTAAATTCGAAGCGTACGGCGCTTACGAAAAAACTGCTGGAATCGACAGCGGGACATCTCCCGCTATGCTTCCTGCGGCTTCTCCATCAATATGAAAATAATCCCTCCATTATGTGATTCTGCAAATATGCCCAATCGGCAGTTTTATCAGTCACATTTTTGGCCTGGTAAACCAGAAGCCAGCATGGATCATTCTCAAAATCATGATGCAGAGTTTGACTCCAGTCTTTGCGCACACAGGAGCATAAAACACCTATGCAAACAGGCCTCAAATCAATGCTCGGCCCATTCACTTCCAGTTCCTGTTACGATCATGTGTAAGCAGAAAAACGATTCAAGTAGAGATAGAAAGCAAAAAAATGCGGTTGCTGAAAGTGCGTGTGTGTTGCGCGCAGCCGCGCCATCGTCACAGTTTGTTGAATCCTTACTAACACATTAGAAAATCTAATTATTGTCGGTTATTATGATTCGTTGCATTCAAAATTACCTTTTCTCTTTCGCATAAAAGCACATGCGCTTCGTGCTCGAAATGAAATTGACCAAGGTTGCACATTACTTCCTCCCAAAGCTTGTTCATCGCACGGTGGAATAGCTTTATCTCCTAGTGCAAATAACATGACCCTCATGAAGAAATTACCTTAGATTACCTTGTATGACGGTTTAGCTAGATTTTCCTCAAATAGTCGACGTACTACAGCAGTATCCTCTTCATTCAATAGCTTTTCCAACATTTTCACTTTGCTTACTTCGTCAAGAATCTAAGAAGCACAGTATGTGACGTTTCAGTTACTCAGCATAATAAAACTCAATCATTACTTGAGAATTTACTAATGTTTAAGGTCAGCTCTGTTAAAGCGCGCTTTGCAGCTTTTAGAAAAATTCTAAGTGTCTGAACCCCCCTTCCCCTTTTTTGCTTCAGATTTCAGCACTTTTTCGCACAAAAACGGACTTTGTGAGCACTTTTCGCGCTAAAACCCATAGCTTGCAAACTTACTTGTCAGGTAAATTTATGGCTTTGCAAAAAGTCTAGAATAGCAAGTAGATTTGCGTCCCCAAAACCGCGTGGATCTGTTCGACGCAATTTCAAAGAATCCTTAACGGACTCATCCTTGTGCATGGCGGATCTAGGTTACTGGTATCGTATGTTTGCAAAATTGTGTCTCGACATCTGCCCCCAGCTCTCTGTTTTTTTGTGACAGAAGGTTATATGACAAAATTACAGACGGTTCTAGCGTTTCATTGTTAGGCAAGGATAGAGAGATATCAGCGAATTTTTGAACGTACTCTAGCCATTACCTTGAGAGCTATCCAGAAATCTTTTGATTGCACGACATCTTCAACTGACAAGTCTTTCACATCTCCAGCAACCTTGGTCTCTTCTTTCTAAACGTGATTCATAAAAAAACGTAAGAGTTTAAGTCCGAGCTGTCTCTAAGTTTGCTTTTTGATCTAAGCCCCATGTATAACCTCAAATTCACGCTTCATAAGCGCCAAAATATCGGAGGTGATACAAAGGTTTGTATGACTTTGGAAAATTTAAATCTCAGTTTAGTAACTGCCTTTGTTTGAGGATTTATCAGTGCTTGATTTTAGAAATTATCTGAGACGGCTTAGAGGCGGCTTGACTGTTAAACAGCTATTTTAATTTAAAAAAATTCCAAATTCTGTGAAATTCTCAAATCAGAACTTGAATGTTACATAAGCAATGTCAAGTAAAATCAAGATTTTACTCCCTTCATCTTTACAAAAAACGATCATACTCCTAGTTAGCACTGCCACCCTTGCCGTCAGGCCTAATGCAAATCAAATGAACTATACATAAAAGATAAAAGATAAAGGATTCGGCTTCTTCGATACTCTCTGCGGGCATGCACCGAACGCACACTACTTCGTAGTCGAAGAGGCACTTGTGTGCGTGCAAGCCTATTACAGTGACTTGCGGGGGCCAGCCAGTTATCCAGTCAGTGCTTTTATCCTTCCAGACTACTCCGGTACCAATTTACCGGCCCTGGAGAGTAGAGGGTTTGGTTCGCCCGGCGGCAGAAAAGCGTTTGACACGAGGAAAAAAAATGGGAACGTTATATTGGCAATTTGCAATGGCCCTTATCGAACTTCACATGTAGGCACAGCTCCAACCATACCTTCGATAGTCTAGAGATGGGAGGTCAAAAGTGAAGATTGTTTGAGTATCTGTCCCTCACAAAAAGTGAAGGTTGTATAGGAAATCAAAGAAGAGCAAAAGATGCAAAACAATTGGCGAAAGCAGAAAAAGCTCTTTAAATTCAATAAAACGCTGCAATTTCTGTTTAGCGGCATTTCGAATTGCAGCTTTTCGCTACGGAACCAGGCAGTCCACAGTACGGGGGAAACGAGGGGAAGCCAATTCTTTTTTTTTTGTGATTCTTCAAGAACAAACACATTTTGGAAGTAATTACCAAGAAGAAAATAAACGAAAAAACAGTTATGAAAACGTGAAGTTTTGTTTTTTCTCAAGTCGAAATGCCTGTCAAGATAACCCAGTTTTTGGTACGTGCTTTGAATTTTGAGCCCCTTTCCGTAGTTTCTGTCTCTGACGACGTTGTCAGCTTTGTTGTGCTCATGGTCCTGAGCAAAATGCCCTTAACCATATGAAAAATGGTTGCTTACTAACTCTAATAAAGGCCTATGAACAAAACACACTTTTTTGCAGCTTTGTGCTATATATCTCATCATAGTCGAAGAAGTTGACCCCGCGACGTTGTCTGTATTACGAAGTAAAGCGGGATCTATGGGACGCACAAAAACCCGCTTGGAAAGAGCTAAACTGAAGAAAAAACAAGGGGTTTTCGAAAACACACGGGTTTTGCCGGATTTCTTGCTCAGATCAAAAAATGTGGTTTTGGAACGTTGTCAGCGTAAAAGTAAAGATCAAGAGTTTTTATACGATATATAGCTTGCTGAAATTAGGTTCGAAACAACGAAGAATAGGGTACCAGAGCCATGCCCCGCGCCCCGCATTTGGGGTAGCAAGGGCGCAACGCGCGGAGACGCAGACGAGCAGCGGAGACAAACCAGAGCCGACGGGGCATTTGGCTCTGGTTGTAGAGCTCGGCGGGGTCTTAACGAAACCACGCAACATTATATATCATTGTGATCCCCATGGTACGCTCAGGATCACCGACAACGTTGTGTGTCGAAAATGTCGAAAATCACTCCATAACAGGATAAACTAGCATTTTAGTGGTGACTCTCTGCGCAGAAGTTGAGCGCAGTTTCTTGTTTTTATCGAACTCCAACAGCTTTCGTAAACTTCTAACACTTGATGGCAGTCTATAAAAAGGTTAACTGAGCATTGTCGTTCTAAATTCCAGAGGGATTTCGAATAAAAACCCTCTTTTTAGCAAAAAAAAAAGATTTCAAGAACGCAATCTTTTTGTTTATGTGCTTGTTTCAAATATTACTCACTATACTTGCCTCATTCAGTCCTATATATTAGGTCGTCCCGAAAGTTCTTTCCGTTTTTTCAAACTATCATAAAAACACGTGGAATGAAGGCAGGAAAACGCTTCAGGCACTATCTGACGCAGCTTTTCTTCCTCTTTTCAACTGTCATACTACTGTACCGCTTGCTATTGTGGTCAGTGAGATAATGACCGAAATTTTGGACCTATGGTTTTTACCATGTCCAATTTTGGCAATTTTTCACTATCTTCTTTCTTAACTTTTGGAGAAGCTTTGATAGCAGTCAGATAGAGTGAACAAAGTGCAATGCAATGCAATTTTTTGGCAATTTCAGCCGACTTCTCATTTTTTAGATAACTTTTTCAGAAGTCTTCACTTTTTTGAAGTCACAAAACACACAAGCGCTCTGAACATCAACAAATCTTCGGATTCCGACACTTTCAAAAGTCGTTTATGATTGAACACTATTTTTACAAAGTAACTGAGCGTTTACCGCTTCGAAACATAAGATTTTGCATTGCACGGATACATCATGAGGCGGGTTCAAAATCAAGATTTATGGAAATTTTATCGCCAAAGACCCCATAAACTAATAAGAGAAAGTACTCATCAGAAAGAGGAGAAAAAGCTGCATCGAATGACACCTTAGTTGTGCGCCGTTTTATGTTCTGTGGCTTTTGGCATCCCCAAAAGTGGAATTTGATAGCATCAGTAAAATAATTCTAAAAATGTTTTGAGGCTAGCTATAGATGCCGAAAAATTGCATAGAATTGCGCTTTGTTTACTTTATCCGACTGCTGTCAAGGCTTTTCCAAAAGGCAAAAAAGAAGATAGTGAAAAATTGCCAAAGCTGGACATGGTAAAAACCATGGGTTCTAAATTTCGGCCATTATCTCACTGATCATAAGAGCAAGCCGCACAGGAGTATGACATTTGAAAAGAGGAAGAAAAGCTGCGTTGGACAGTACCTGAATCGTTTTCCTATCTTCATTTCACGTATTTTTATGATAAGTTGAAAAAACGGAAAGAACTTTCGGAACGACCTAATATATAGTCATAACATAGAGGGCTTTGGGATGACCTCTGTCGTTTTTTCCAAGTAAAGGTTGTGTTTTATCATGTCGCTCAAAGTGAAGGTTATCAGAGTACATGGCTGTATGTATCAAAGGTATGGCTCCAACTCATAGTAAAAATTCTGCTGTCAATGCATAGAAGATAAATTTTGAGCAAGTGAATTATGACCAAGGTTAGGCCGGTAGCTTAATTTCAGTATCACCATGGTAACAGTCATAAAATGTTACTTAACGAGGGAGGGCCGTTTGGTAGTCCTAGGACCGCTTTGAAGAACATTGAGCGCTGATTCCGGATCTGTTCTTATTATCTGCCAAGCGCCAATTGACGCCGAATTATGAAGCAGAAAATGAAGGCATAATCTAGGTAAATCGACAGTTACGCTTTTTTCAGTGCTTGTGTAAAGCATTAAAGGCAGTGTCCGGGCGAAAACTCGATTTCTAGAAAATCCATTTGAGAGTTATCCGCAACGTTGAATGTGAAAATCCATATTAGAAGGCGCGGAAACGGCGAAAACATGCGTTTTCCAAAGCTTTACAATTTGAAATTCGACGGTCCCCGCCAGGATGAGACGCAGAGTCACTGCGAGACCCTACGATTTTGAATGTGACAGCATGCGTACTCTGCCGCATAGCAGAAATTCGAACAGGTCGGAGGACGCCGCCCCAAGACGCAAGTTTCCCCACTTTCCGGTCGTTTTTCTTGCTTTAGGTCGAGCGTTATGACGTCGCACTTGCCCGATGTTGTGCCTGAGGAGGACCACTTTCGCATGGCACTAAAATCCCAAAGCCCCAACTTGCCCGGACACTACCTCTAAGTATGGGTGTATCAGAAAGAAGTTGCGTATTGAATCAAGAGAATCGATAATAAAATTGAATCATTCGAGCAATACTAGACGGATTTTGTTTAAGTTGCGCATTCAATTTTCAACCCCAGAAACGCCCATGATTCGGCGTCCAGAAAACATTTGGCAGATAATGAAAACAGATTTGCACATCTTTCATTGCTCTTCAAGGTGGTATAGGAGTTACATGGAAAGACCACTTCGATTGAACGGACGTCCCTTGTAAGCAGGGCTCGGCACAGCTGGCACCGGGTCAAGCTGGGTATCGTTTTTTGGGCGAAAACAAAGGGGATATCGTTTTTCCGTGGTCCGGGGCAGGGAAGAGCCGCAAGAATGCCGCAGGCATGCCATCGGCATGCTGTCCATCAAGCAAACAAAGGGTTTGTTTTCAGCCAAAACGCATATGACACCAAACTTAATGTGTGCATGTGCGTGGACCCGAAATATGGCCCAAAAATTTATGAAAACTATGTGAATAAAAGCTGTGCTGAACTTTTTTCTAAATTAGCTGGCACCGTGCCAGCTGGGTGCCAGCTGAGCTGGCACCGACACTTTGCTCACATAAATTTCATGCTTTTTTTACATAAAATGTATCTACACCGTGAAAGTTTACATACAGAAAAGAAACAGTTTCATAATGTTATCTTTTCAGCGTTTTATAGCCATTTGAAAATTACTCGGTCTGCTCCGCAATGGAAAAGTCGGCTTTTTCTGCTTCTCGAGATGTGATTCAACCACTTGAAAAGCTCAAAAAGCTGTGAAAAGTTGTTTCATGTAATCAGCATGCATGAAAACCCTACAACGTACTTTTACATAATTTGAAATCAACGGGTCTTCAAAATAGGTCAAGGGGGACTTTGTACGAGTTCAAGATCAAACGGGACTGGACTTCGTTTTGAAATTTCACTGGTGCCAGCTCGTGCCGAGCTCTGGGTACGAAAGATGGAAAGGCATAGGTTTTGAAGCAGAACACATATTTTATGCGCTCCCCTCCTTCCTCTGGCTCCGTGGCTCATGAACCGGGCAA